ACTGTTAAGGTAACGTCAGAGGATATTATTATTATTATTATTATTATTATTATTATTATTATTATTATTATTATTATTATTATTAACTATTTCTTATTCTTTTTACGGTTGTAAGATGTGAACCTCCAAAATAATTGAGAATTGGATAGTGCACAAACTTAATAATATATGAAATAATATATTATATTAATATATGCTATATTAATATATTAATAATATATGAAAAAAAACTTCACTGGTCTTCCCCCTCCCCTAAATTGTAAGCAAATTACTGCAAGCATGAGTAAAGTAGTGCTATATTGTGCTTTTATACATATAGGGAAAATAAAGTTCAGATTTATATTCACAGTCTATGGTTTTAGAAACATTTAATGGTAATGGGAGAATGGTAAGCTACAAGTACATTGTAGCTTGAACATTCAGCTGGATTGTTCTGGAAATGCCATGGTCCAGCTGACTCAGAAGGTGGAAAGTATTGTACATTTTATATTTCAGCTGAGACAAATTCCAAAAGTAGGAAAAATAGGGCAAGGCTGGTGCACGTTACTCTCATCTTCCCATTATTTGTTTTCCCTTCGTGACACACACCTAATGCTCCATAAACCTAACCAGCAAACCTGCCTGTTCCTCCCATTAATTTTTTTGCATTTTCCTTTGCTTATTTCCATTTAATGGTTATCCTACTCTGCTGAATCTTATTATAGTCCTCTTTTCTTCCCTTCCACATCTTGGAACAACCACTGAATTAAATGACCATGTCCTAGATTTGTCCCCAGATGAAACATTAAGAGTCTGTGTCTCAATGAAATATACCACCACTCAGAATTAATCTGTTTTGTGCATGAGGTGATCAGTGCATAGGATCTTTTGCCCATCCCTAAAGTGTTTTTTTATTGTAGTATTTGCACAACTTTAAAAATATGTGTATAATATGTTTTAAATTAGGAGGAATATAAATTGAATTTATATTAAATTCCAAGCAAAAAAAGATGAGTAATCATCTAGCTTGACTCAGATTAATATAATTATCAGTATAATTTACAACTAATTTTTATGTAAGGTTAAATATGAAATTTGTAAATATTTTGAAGTAGAAAATATTAATAATATTAAATGTTTTTTAAAGTTGTGATTTAAAATATGGCTGATTTTTTTTAAAAAAAATGACTATTTCTTTGTTATTTTAGGTCAGCTAAATTTGCAAATACCATGGAAAAATCTTTATACTCAGCCAGTTGAAGCTGTTTTAGATGAAGTTTTTCTGCTTATAGTACCTACAGCTAGTAAGTTTATTAAGAAATGGAACTGAATTTTGTAAAATAAAGATGTAAAATAACATTTAACCATTATAATTTCTGCTTCTATATTTTTAATCATGCAATAGTTTGAATAGTTTAAATAGTCTGTGATTGGCAAGAAAGAAGCAGTTAGTATTATTATTTGTTGGTTTAATTAATATCCCAAATGTGTCTAGTGGACAATTTCTGGGTAAGCAAACATATCTAATCTAATTTGAAATCTGTTCATACTTCCCTTCAGAAGAAAATGGGTCCTAAGCTGTTTAGAGCTAGATAGTTTGTCACCAGGTCCCCAAATTGAGTCTAGTAGCTCACAGGCTAAGGATTGAGCTCCCATGGATTTATTTAGCTACCTTGCTCAATATTTTAACAGCTATTTTCTCTGTAGCCTGCAGCTTCTGAACCTTCTTCAGTGATAATCTTTAACTGAAGGCCAGCTACAAGAATGTTAGTGACTATAGTTCAATGGAAATAGATTTTGGTTTATTAAAAGATTATATCAGAAACATCAACTGAAGTTGAACTTAGCTTCTTCTTACCAATAAAGCCTCCCCACCATTTATCTAACAACATATTTGAAAACTTCCAAATGATATACCTGTTCTTTCTAAAAGTCTATTCTGATTCAGAACAGGTCATTAAGCTTAGAATTTTTATAAGAATGCTAGAATACTTTTAAGAACATTGTCCTTAATTCTTCACCAAAATTTCCTAGATAAATTGATGCTACAAAAAAGAGGTTTCTTTGTAAATCAATAAAGTAAAATAATGAGAAGTAGTACTGTATTTTTCGGAGTATACGATTCACCGGAGTATAAGACGCACCAAACTTTTGAAGAGGCAAATTTTAAAAGTTTTTGCACTCTGCAGACTTCCCAAAAATGGCTTGTTTTTCAGGTAAACGGGCCCATTTTTTTTCACAAAAGGGCATGCATAGCCTTTAGGAGGCTTATCAAGTGTTCCTGGGGGCTGGGGAGGCAACATTGAGCAAAAAATGACCCATTTTTTGCTCATTTCTCCCCTTCCCAGCCTCCAGGAGCACTCTGAAAGCCTCCTAAAGGCTATGCACAGCCATTTTGGTGAAGGGGGCAGGGTTTCGGGAGGCAAAAAATGCTGTATTCAGTGTATCAGATGCACCCAGATTTTCAGCCTCTTTTTTTTGAGGAAAATTTTCAGCCTCTTTTTTTTGAGGAAAAAAGGTGCATCTTATACTCTGAAAAATATGGTAGGTATAAATAGTTATGCAATAAAGGCATAATCCAGTTTACAAATCAATGAATGAATAACAACCTAAATTCAAACCTTCAGGTTTTGATGAACTTTTAAAGATAGTTTGTCACGTACCAAATATTTGATGATATATTTTGCAATCTTAACACCACCATGAAAATGCCTGCTTGCCTCTCATAGCTCTTACATTCTGGACATAGGATGTTCTGCAAATATCCTATGATTCTTGGCTATTGAGTCATAGGTGCACATATCCATAGGTACATTGTTAGCCCTTTGAAGTACTCCAGACAACCACAACTCTTAAGTACTAACTCCATCTTTATTATGAAGTTACATTAACAGCATTCTTTTAAAGATTGAAATTATTTCTCCTTTTACTCTCTGAAAAACTATGGAGGGCCCTTTCTGAAATTACTTACCTGGCAGGGGAGACACCTTGATCATGGAGGGCCCTTTCTGAAATTATCTAGCCTGCAGCTCTTTCTNGGGGGGGGGGAACGGCCCATTTTTGTGAAAAATGGGCTTTTTTGCACATTTTGGGGGGCACTCTCCCCCGGAACATTCTACAAGCCTCCTAAGGGCTATTCATGCCCTTTTTTGAAAAAAAAAAGGTCAATTTTCATGAAAAACGGGCCGTTTTCGGGAGGTTTGCAGAGTGCAAAAAACTTTTTTTAAAAAAATTCCTCTTTAAAACCTTGCTGCATCTTACACTCCAGTGTGTCTTATATTAAATACGGTACTTGCATTATAAAGGATAAAAATCCATAGGATGTATTTTTAAATGACAATAATTTTTAGCATGCTATACTGACTTGTTAATTTAGAAAGCATTTTTAAACAAAATATGTTCTTAACCGTTAATTTTTAAAGAAAGGAGATATCCTTTTAAAATAATGGAGATTGAATTTACAATCCTTCTGGTGTTATATCTTGGTAAATAGCAATATCATGGCAACCTCATCAGAAAGAAAGAAAAAGTTTATTTGTACTGTAGCCCAGTGATGGATGGGGAGTTTTAGTTTTCAATTCAAAGAAATCCAGCAAGGCCTCATTTTTCTCTGCAGTGTTCCCCCCAAGATTATCATGCAACTACACAGACCTTCTTGCTGCATATTGCTATAGTGCATTTCACATATACATACTGGTATGATAATGTTCCTGGAACTCTTGTGTAATGTGTAGTTTGGTTTGAGCAATGTAAATGTGTTTGCTGACTATTGAAATGTTGTAAATTAAGTTTGTTCTCTGATTATGATTTTTTCCCCCCAATTTTTTAATAGGAGCTGTAGCACTTAAAAATCTTGAAATAAAAGAAAATGCATTGGTAAGTACTAAAGTGCTTTTTGCATCATAGTCCTTCATAAATACGTGTTTTTATGCTGTCTTGGTAATTAATTAAAATATTTATGCACATTCTAGACTCTATGCTGTTAAAATAATAATGTTTTAGTCATTGAAATATAATTAAAACATTTATCTTTACAGTATCAATTTGATGTCCCCTTTAAAGTTAAAGCAGGTCATATTGGTAAGTAGAATTCCCAAGCTTCTTACAATAATTAATTAAATTTGTATTTTTAAAGACATAGTATTAGAAATGCATTGGTTCATCATGCAGCTATTATCCAAAACAGTGAACCATAGTAGACAACATAATAATAGGGTAAAAATATGTTACCTATTATGGTTCACCATTTTGGTTAATTAGCAGATTATTAATTGTATTGAATACATAAAATATCTACTTGTATTCTTGGTTAATCTAATCTGACTTCTTTATATACAGATAGTCCTTGATTTACGACCACAGTTGAGCCCAGAATTTCTGTTGCTCAGTGAGACATTTGTTAAGTGAGCTTTGCTCCATTTTGTAACCTTTCTTGCCACAATTGTTAAGTTGTTAATTTAATAATAGCAACAGCATTTAGACTTATATACCACTTTACAGTGCTTTACAAATAACATGGATATTAAGTGAATCTGGCTTCCCCATTGACTTTGCTTGTCAGAAAATCACAAAAGGTGATCACTACAATCATCATAAATATGAGTCAGATGCCAAGATTCCAAATTTTGATCACATGACCAGGGGGAAGATACAACAGTTGTAAGTGTGGAAAAACTGTCATATGTCACTCCTTTCAGTGCCGTTGTAGTTTTGAATGGTCACTAAATTACCTGTTGTAAGCCGAGGACTACTGTATCTGCTATATTTTATGTATCTATTTTTTATTGAATTTAGATTCAAATATTGAGGATGTGCTTTCAATAAGTTAGTAGTCATTATGGGAGTTGGTTGTTATCTGTAAAGTCCTACATGGCATAGGACTTCATTACTTGAGGGACACGCATTTCCAGTATCTCCAGTGTTATCTACCTAGCCAATTTTGGGCACTTTGGATTCCTTCAATTAAACAGTGCCATCTGTTGGGTCTCTGGAAGAGTGCCTCCTCTAGGGAATGAAGTGCCCTCTGAGATTTGATTGTCTCCTTTCTTGCTGGTGTTTCTAATGGCTTTGAAAGCCCATCTCTTTGCCAAATCTTGGGCAAGCATGATTGAAGTCCCCTTTTGGTTGTGTGGATTTGTTTTTTGCTCCTACCAGTTTGCATATTATTATTATTATGCAATTGTATCACAGCAGCCAGTTGTTTCGCCGGATTTGGCATTGGTTACTAGTCGGGCCCCACCCAGGGGCCTAGGACGTCATAACGTATTTTCGTAATATGCGTGCAAATCCAAGCAGTGTGGCTTTTTGTATTTGACTGATGGCGATTTTGTCATTTTTTAACTGT